TCAGTGAAATAATATTCATCTAAGACATAAGTATTAAAATATATAAAATTTATTTAATAAAATATTTTACAATTCATTATGTTTATTAGTATTTTTTATATTTTCCCTTTGTAATAAAATATTTTTTAAAGTTTCCTCCTGAACTTTTATGAGGTTAACTTTTCAGATAAAAAAAAAACTATAAAATATAAACAAACTTTCTCAGAACACAGTCCAACTAAAATTAACTCTACTCTACGTGCTCCAACTTATGCTAACTGTCAAATTCTCAAATATTTTTCTCCTTTTTCACAAAATTCTCTCCATTTTTCTTCTTTTTCGCAATGGTTGCCAACATAAACTTTAGTTTAGAAGGTTAGTTAGTTAGTTTAGTTAAACTTAGAAGGTTTAGTTAGTCTGAGCTTAGTCCATGTTTATTAATAACATTCTGAAAATGAAGTTAGTACTCGCTTAATCTGGGACTAACTAGTCCGAGACTAACTTCGGACTAAGCAATTTTTATTAATAAGGCTGCAACTGTATTTAACTTAATAATTCATTTAACTTAATCAATGCCTTCTTCTAGCATTGAATAATCTCTTCATAACCTCATAAATAACTGACTTAATAATCCTTAAATTGTTATAACTAACTCCTCAATAATAATTTTGTAACTGATTTAATATCTTCTAACTAACTTACTTAACTCAATTAATAATCTTCTTGTAACTAAATTCTTGAATTATAACTTTACTAACTGATAACTGAACTGGTAACTGAACTTAACTGAACTGAACTCATAACTGACTGACTAAACTCTAATTCATAACTGACTGACTCCTCTGACCAAATTACATGGCCTATATATATATCTTTTTTTTCTTTCCAGAATATTCTAGCAACAAATAATGTTCGAATCATTCTATTTTTTTCTATTTGAAAATTCTGGAATGATTTCCTGTCTGTGATGTATTATGTATTGACATTTCTAGAGTTTTCCACTAACAATTTACTTGACTTTAGGCTCTCCAGATCAGAACTACACTATTATATTATGTAACTTAAACATTTATATAAAATATATTTTTACTATTCTACATCCACAATTATATTCTAAATTAACATTCCAAAAATAAATAACTTTTTGACTTTGACACTACAGTGTATGTTTGGTTGCATATGCTGACTCAAAAATATCTAATATTAAATAAAATAAAAAAAAACTTCTTAAACTTAATTCTTATGCTAAATTCTTAAAAATACCCTCATATAATTATTTTTTAATAATATTATCTAATATATAACTTACAAATTATGTCTCTAACCACTATTTAAATAAAACCACTAATCAACACTGTATATCTGGTTGTATATATTTCTAAGTTAATTTATTGTATTTCTGTTTTCATTATAATACCCCAAAATTCATTTTAAAATAAATAATTCGTTTATTATTATTTTTTTAAAATTAATTTTCCTATCCATACACATTTGTAAATATATTAATTAATATAATTCAATATTTTAATTTTTTATTTAACATTCCCTCATACTGCGCCTATGTAATCTATGTTCCATGTTAAATGTCAAATTGTCGTGTCAAATGACAAAGATCATATGTTTATTTAACTAATAAGTTTCTACACAATGTTTGTTTATTAATAGACTAGATTTAGGAAATAATTCTGTACCCCAGAAGTAAAGTGTCGTAACTACACTTTTCAGTATTTGCCAGAAACGGGTCTCGAACATTTTGGTCCCTATATTATACAATTTTTTGATAGTATCAATTTAATTGGGCGGACTAAAATTAACTTTTTTTAATATACAATATACAGTATAATAATATACAAAACTATTTAGAACTTCATCGCGTTTCCGGTTAGTCAAGGGGAGCAGTTACGATAGTTTACCTCAAATTTAACTGTTATGTTAAAGTAGTTGCGATTAATCTGAAATGGACAAAAATAATTAAAATAAATAAATAACATGGTGTTATCAAAAAACTAAATTATTTATTTATAATAATACAAAAATAATGAATACTTAACATAATTTTAAAAGTTTCCGTCTGCTTTTTACAAGTCATTTGTACTTGTAGAGTGAGGAATGCTCTCATAGAAATGGTGGAAGCACTGTGGTACCCACTTTAATAAAGTTATAAGGTCTCTGTACTTTAAAGTGCTTATTGGTCTTCTAGTAGCATTTGTCTGTGGAATATATTCAGACCACTTTGCTCTTCTGGTGCCCCTGCCCAGATCTACCATTTTAAAGCTTTCCTGTGAACAAGACGTCTTATAATAAAGAATTTCTTCTCCTTTCCTTAGTTGCAAATGTACGACTTCACTGATTTTAAAATCTTCCTTTTCAGTATTTTTTTTCTACTAATTAAAGGAGATTCTACATAATCAAACAGAACCTTAAAATTTTTAGGTCTTCGATGGTCATGTCATAAACACCTAAAAGCTCCTTATGAACTGTTGCCAATCCCACGGAGTCATCAATGTAGTTGAATTACTAATTTGTTTTTTAGAACGCTCAATAACAGAGTGCACTCCATCTACCTCCATATGGGTGTGTCCTCGAAGAAGGAACTTATGATTGATGACTTTTAATGATGGCAATACTCTAAGTAACCAGATATAGCTTGCAACCACAGTAAAATTTCTGTTTTGGCCTCCGCAATTATCTGACCAAATAGTTAATGTTTCTGTATCACCAGTAGCAATATTATCGAGTGCCCACTTCAAAATACAGGAGGAGACTTCGCAAGCACCGCGTGCCCCAACTGTTTCATCCCACATAGCACAGTGTGCTTTTCCGTTTTTACTATTTAGAATGGTTAGGTTGAGAGTCCATAATTTTCTTAAATAAAAAGAATGTGTGTTTGTCAAATAAGGTGTTGGCAAACACTTCTGCAGATCAATCATTATTACAATTTCTTTCGATGAAAGTTCTCTTGACAAAATTTTATCTGAATTTTTCAATTTATATTTAAGTTGGGCTTCTGCCCAGTGAGCTTCCAAATTAGCCTGTAACTCCTGTTTCTTTTCTTCATTGTCATTCTCTATGTTTATTTTTAATTCATCGCAATGGTCACAGGTGTCGTTTGCTGGTAATTTAAATGACAAATTGAATTCCATGTTAAAAATTTGGTTGTACAACCACTGTTTTCCTATATCAGATTCATGAATTTTCTTTTGCTTACAGTCATCAAGATATAATGAAAACATTTTTGATAAATTAAGCTCATTCCCTAAATATTTTTGGGCAGATCTTGCCCTACTATAATGACTTTCAACCACTGGGAAACTTTTTATGTGCTCACGTATTGTTTCCCGAATATTATTTGCAACTTTATTGCTTGGTGTCTTTCTTCCTCTTTTATCTGGCAAAACTAAACCACCTTCAACTTTTTTAGCCAGTGCAGTTTTCACAGTTGTTTCAGAAATGCTTAGTGTATTTAGAAAGAACGTTTTACACAATCTAATATTTCTACCATTGAATTCAAAACTATAAATCAAGGTTGAATTTCTCTTCGAAGCATTATTAGTTGTTTTGCGAGCAACATTAATTTTTGAAACGCAGGAAGATATAAACTGACGTTTAAGATCATTACTATTGCCTTTTTTGTGGGAATTGTTGAATATATTGAGTCTAGCATTTTCATCTATATTCTCTGAGCACTTTCTGATACATGATGGCATACATGGAGGTTTCAAATGTTTAGCTGCGATCAAGACGCCTTTTTTATTAGTATATTCTTTACCTGCTTCCTTTTTTACTTTTCGTATGCTCGTTTTCCAGAGATCTACGTTACGTTTTCTTTTTCGGCCGTTCAATAAATACACTTCATAATATACACGAATAAAATTTACACTAAACTAACTCACTTTATTTCTGCAAAGTTCTACTAAAACTTTCCCTCTGCCTGTCATAATGTACTTTTTCCTGTTGTATAATCCGACAAGCGAGAGCTGGCGGGTGAGCTGCGCAAAAATAAAAAAGGAATTATTCTAAGAGAGATAGGAGAGGTACTTAATCGCGATTATAGGTATATAGTATAGGTACTTAAACAGTTATACACGATGTGAACTCCTAGCCGACTGCAATAGAAATGAGCATTTCCTTCCACTTTTCAATTTGTTCTACACGCAACCCGCCAGCTCTCGCTTGTCGGGTTATACAAAAGTAGGATATTATTAAACAGACACACAACTTTCATAAAAAATACTAAAATCACAGCATTGCCTCTATTATCACTTTTAAACGAAAGACGTAACCTCACATCACTGTTGCTATGAACGTAATGACAAACGAGTCAAGTCGTCGTAACTGCTCTAGGAGTGCGAGTACAGCCGAATCAAATGGAAGGGAGTGGTGAGAGGTAAATAATCGTATAATACATTAGGACAGTTTACTTCTAGAGGTGTTCAAAGCTGTGAAGTGAGAAGTAAACAATCGTAAGGTATATTAAGATAGTTAACCTTCTAAGTAGTTCTCTACTATAAGACAGTTTAAAAACAGTGTTTTTGACGTTGCTTACATATTGCAGTTATGATACTTTACCACTAAAAAGTTTAATATTTTTTGATGCAGTTACGGCAATAACCTGAAAATCGCAATTTTTGTAGTTACGACAGTTTACTTCTGGGGTACAGAATTCTTTCTTTTGGTTCAAAAGCCTTTCTTTAGTATAAATGGTAAGTCTTACTTTTCATATGTCAGTAGAAAAATATTTACAAAAATTAATCTTAGGGAGATATATAACCCCAATTCAAATTATATTATAAATTATTGTAAATTATATGACAGTGATTTTATACTTAATTATAATATTAATTATGGTTTTTAGGATTCAAACAAAGGACAAATTCAACAGCTGCTCAAGACATGATGTCAAATTAATAATTGATACATTATACCACAAGGATTATATTTACCATGTGTTTTGTCAACAAACAAGATGTCTAATGAAATAGAGTTAAGTGTTTAGTGAAGTGTTTGTGATGTTAACAGTGTTAAATGTATATAAAACATTCCACCTCTTCAAAATATTTAAAAATGTCATTAATATGAAAAATTCCTCTTAGTTTATTCCATGCATCTATCAACACATAGCTGTTCAGTCCATTTTGGTTTTGAACTATGTATGGACCTTCAAACAGTGGTTGTAATTTCTTACAACGGTTTTCTCTTAAATTTCCTTGTCTAAGTGAACGAATTAAAACTTTGTCTCCTTTTTGAAATGTGATTGGTTTTTTAATTGTTCGATTTTGTCTTCTGATATATTTTTCAGCCTTTCTTTGAATTCTTCTGTTCACCTTTTGCATGACTTGTTCTAACATATCTTGTGTACACTCAGAAATCCACTTTCTATTTCCTATATGATCAAACATTAAATATTCTGGTACTTCCTCTGTGTTTAAATTATGTGTATTATTTAAAAAATATTCCACTTCTTCGATATAATCCTGCCATGTGACCTGTTCACCTTGGCATAATATCCTTAAATATTTTATAACTTTTTTTATATATCTTTCTGCAGGATTTGCTTGAGGATGTCTAATACTTGTAAAATGAATGTTGATCCCCTTTTTCTCACAAAACGTCTGAAATTTTTGATTGTTAAAATATGTAGCATTATCTATTATACAATTTCTAAATGGTCCTATTTCTTCGAAAAACTGATTAATACATAATTTCAATGTTTTAACATTTGTTCTTGAGCATGGATATAGTTTAATAAATTTTGTATATAAATCAACTATCACTAATATATGTTTGTTTCCTTTTGGACTGGGAACTAAATTTGAGATGAAATCCATGGCAACTGTATTTAGTTTTTCATAAGCAACATTGGATTTATATGTGTTCTGGTTTTTGAAATTCTTTTCTTTGTTTATTTGACATATTTGGCATTGTGTAGTAATTTCTTTTGCTATACTTATGTCATTCTTTGCAAAATAATTATCTCTAAATAACATCCAAAGTTTTCTTGAACCAATATGCATGTAACTTTTATGTAAATCTTTCAATATCTTTCTTGCCAAAATTCTACTTATTACATACACTTCTAAGCCAATAATTATTTTATAAAACACCCCATTTTTCTTAAGGACTTTTTGTTTTTCATCCAAATTTATTTGATTTCTTATGATTTCTTCTTTAGAATATAATCCAGTGTTTTCTACCAACCGATTTAATCCAATTTTTATTGTTCGCTGCCTTTTTTGTGATGTATTTTCTAACCTTGACAAAGCATCTGCCACTATGTTGGATTTTCCAGAAATGTATTTGATTTCAAAACTGTATTCACTCAGTATTAGGCTCCAACGATGTATTCGACTGTTTCCATATTTGTTATTTAATATAGATGTTAAAGCTTGGTGATCTGTTTCTATAGTAAATTCCTTACCCAACAAATAAAATCTTAATTTTGTGACACAGTGTATGATACTAGCTAGTTCTAGTTCTGACACTGAATAACCTTTCTCATGTGGCTTTGTAATTCTTGATATGAATTGTATCGGGTATTCGACCCCATCATGTATCTGTAGTAATACCCCTGATAATCTTTCTATTGAGGCATCTGTTCTTAATATGAATGGCTTTGTATAGTCAGGATGGTATATTTTTAAATTTGACAGAAAAATGTTTTTGATTTCTTGGAATGCTAGTTCTCTTCGCTGGTCCCATTTCCATTTTACACCTTTCCTCAGTAGTTCAAGTAATGGAATTTCTTTTATACTTAGATCTGATATCATCCTTTTATAATAATTAATTATTTCAATAAATCCTCTTAAAGTTCTTAAATTGTGTGGTGTTCTATATTCCTGAATAACCTGTGTCCGTCTGGATCCATTTCAATTCCCTTAGTATTAAGTTTATAACCTACATATATTACTTCTTTTTGGAAAAATGTACATTTTTCTTGTTTTATTTTTAGTCCAACTTTGTCTAATATGTTCATTATTATTTTTAGGTGTTTCGCATGCTCTTCAGCAGTTTTCGAAAAAATTAATATAATATCAATGTAATGAATTACAAATTGTTCATATTGATCCAAAATATCATGAAGACATATACATAGAGCACTGCACGATGATTGAAGTCCAAATGGTACTCCTTTGAATTGATATACTACTCCATCTATCTGAAATCCTGTATATTGTCTACTTTTCCTTTCTAGAGGTATTAACCAAAAACTATGCTGTAAATCGATTTTAGTGAAAAATGACATTCCTGTAATTCTTCCTAGTATTCCATCTATACTCATTGGTGCTTCAAATTGCTTTTCAGTGATCTTGTTAATATTCGTTGCATCCAAACATAGCCTGATTTCACCTGATCTTTTTCGTACTACCACTATAGGGTTAATGAAACGTGTATCGGCCTTCTCAATGATTCCATCTTCTAACATATTATTAATTGTTCTATTTACTTCTTCTCTGTATTTATATGGTATTGGGTACGATTTTGTTTTAAAATCTGTTTCTTCTTTTACTTTTATACTATGAATATAATTATGTGCAATTCTATTTTCTTTATTAACAAGTCCTTTGTGTTGCTGCAATATGGAAATGACTATTGATTTATATTCTTCAGGGCAACTTAAAACTTTTATCATATCCTCTTCTTTACAAATAAAATTATTTTTCATTATGTAATCATTATTCCTTGCTTCCAGTTTTACGCACTCCGCCTCGTAGGCATCCATCTGCTTAAATTTTCCATTCCTTAAATATTCATTACAATTATTCTTTACATTCTTTTGGGACATCACCCTATCATCAAAATACATTTCTTCTTCATAAACATCATTACTTTCTATAAATAATATCCTATTAATTCTTATTTCTTCTTCCTCCTCATCTTTCTGCATAAACTTAATTATTTGCCCTTCCAAAGTTACAACTTTTTCTTCAAAATCTATCTTCACTTTCTTCTTTTCCAATTCATCATTTCCCATTAATATATCAACACATAAATCCTTGATAATAAATCCTTGCATATTAATTTCTTTATTAAGAATATTAATTTTAAAATTGGCTAGTTTATCAATTTCACCCAACTTCTTATTATTTGCACCAACTATTTTAATTTTTGGAATCTTCATTATATCTGATAGTTTTAATGTATTAAAAATAAAATTTTCCGAGACTAAAGTATTTTCTGAACCAGTATCTATCATAATCTTAATCATTTTATTTTTGGCCATAGCATTTATATAAATTAAATTAATAGATTCAATAATTTTATCTTCATCTAAAGAAATAAATTCAGAAGGTTTCTCATAATGACAATGACCACACTTGTAATTCAGAAAGTTTACTGCATAAAATTTGGATTGTTAGAATTATTCTCTAATTGTGTCTGACCAATTTGTTCTAATGTCCTGTGTCTTTCACTACTATGACTTCTACTCATATTTTTCTGCCTTGTACTATTTCGTTCTCTATCTTCGCAGCTTCTGTTCCTTCGTATATGATTTACCTGTCTGTTGTAATTAGGCCGTTCTGTATTTCTCCTATTGTTAAAATCTTGTCTATCATAATTAGTATTGTTATTTAAATTTTGTCTATTTTGATTATTATTATTGTTGTTAAAATTTTGCATATTATGACCATATCTATTATTATTATATGATTGTCTATATTGTTGATTATTATTCTTATTTATTGTAAATTATTATTGTTTTTTCTATTATTATTATTATTCATCCTAATATCATTGTTATCATTGTTACTTGTCATATTACCTCTTTGTATTCTTTGAATAAAATTAATAAAACTATCTATTGTTTGAATATTTTGTACAGTTACTGTTTGTACAACATCTTCATCAAAATGTCTAGATACATTTAAAACTGTTTGATCTTCTCTAAGTGGTGGTTCTAAATACTTTGCAACTGTTATTAGCTTTAATGCATAATCTACCATATTAGATCTTAAATTAGCATTATACTTTCCAAAATAGAGAACTTCCCTAAATCTAGCTTGCTCTAATTCACCCCAATAATAATTTAAAAATTTATTTTCAAATGTTTGAAAATTGTCCAAATCATTCTCAACACTGGCAAACCAAGTTGCCGCATTATCACTTAATGTCATTCTAATATAATCTTTAATATCATTAATATTATTCACTAATCTTAATTTATGTTTTAAAAAACTATTTATGTAAACTCTAGGATGCAAATTCTTGATATTACCAGAGAATTTAATCCCATTGTCATTTGTTAAATTTAAGTAAGGTCTCCCTATGTCTCTTATTTGTGAAATATTATCTATTCTTTGTTCCACATTTCTTATTTGATTACTATTTATTTGGATATTTTGTTGCATATCGTCCAATTTTTCTTCTGTGTTTCTTCTGTCTTCGTTCATTTTGACTTCTAAGCTACATTTGTGCAACTCTATTTTCTGTTCTATATCTATCATATTATCTTGAATAATCCTATTTACTTCTGTTCTCTCATTTTCTATCCTTTTCTTATAGTAATGCCTTATATTTTTTATTTCATTTGCTACTTTTTTCTCTGCAGCTTCAAGTTTTTTATCTATTTGTTTTTCTATTTGTTTTATAATTTTATTATTATTATCTTCTATTTTCTTTTCTAATTTTTTATAATTCTCTTCCATTTTTTTCGAATTCTCTTCCATTTTTTTCGAATTCTCTTCCAATTTCTGTTCCATTTTTTTCATTTCTTCTTTGACTTCTTTAGAATTCTCTTCCAATTTCTGTTCCATTTTTTTCATGTCTTCTTTGACTTCTTTAGAATTCTTTTCCAATTTCTGTTCCATTTTTTTCATGTCTTCTTTGACTTCTTTAGAATTCTCTTCCATTTTTTTCGTATTCTCTTCCATTGTCTTGTTCATCTGCATCATTAATGACATCAAAGCTGCCATATTGACATTTTCTCCTCTTTCTTGATTCATTTCTACTGAATCTTGTGGAACTTCAACTAAACTCTCCTCTTGTACAGCTTGTGTTTCTAATTCCACATCTTCATTCTTTTTGTTTCTTGTACCTTTTTTTCCTTGAGACATATTGAGACTTTACTTGTTCAAATATAATTAAAAATAAAAGCTATAATTGTTTTTTCTTTCAAATAAAATTAATTTAATTATATGAGAGCCCTTATCTTTCCAAACTAATTCTTTTAAATAGAGAGGGCCCCGCGTTGGGCGACAAAATTGTTATGATTTGTTGTTGTTGTATGAGCAATGAGTAAATTTAAATGATATATGTAAGTATAGGGTTTTTATCGCGGTTCTCAAAGAATTAGTTTGTAAGTACTTTTTTAAATTATCTTTATTATAAATATTATGAAACAAACCTATCTATCTAATATAAGCAATATTAATTTAAAACAATCTATCTAAAATTTGAAATTCTTACAATTATTAACTTATTAACAAAATTTGGTACCTTCTTTCACTGAACGCCTAAAGTTTTTCCAAAATTAAAGTTATTATCACCACTCGATATCTTCTTACTAAGCCTTGGTTATCCAACTATGTTAATATCTTCCTACTTAATTATCTCCACTCACCATATAAATATATATTTAACTCCTTGTAATTTCCATATATTTAATGTACTTTGAAATATACTGGATCTTGTGGTTGTATTATTGAATGCTTATTTCAATGAATTAGACCTCTAACCTGTAAGTCGACCCTGAGGATGACATTACATTAATTCAAATAATTTAATAAGTAACATGTTGTGTCAATCAAACCGTTTAGACGTCTTTTAGTATGTTTCAAAGTAATACATTGTTGACCGTTTGAAAATTGTACGATGCGCCATTCAAAATTTATTACCAGTCGAGTAAGAACAATAAGTGAGTAGACACGTATTTATTATTGCTCCGTATTATGAACAAATAAAAAATTATAACAGATATTTCTAAGTATCGGATTACACTAGGAATTTTTGTAGTGAGTATATAAATACATATATTTTCCTAATTTATTGTTCAATATTGTGCAATATGTAGTTTGTTCTCTGTATTTGTTATATTGTATTGTCATCCTCAGGGATGCCAAAACGGTTTACGTGAATGTTTTTTTGTAATTCGCTATTGTTCTTGATAAAACTTTTTGTGAATTTTTTTTAGCAGTTTTTGAGTTTTTTATCACCTAAATTTATTTTTGTTGGTTTGTTGAAAGACAAAAAGAAGAAACAATGGACGGACAGCTACCACAACGTTTTTTCATTAGAAAAAAATTGTCACAGTACAATGAATTTGAAAGACAAAAGAAGTATACTTTCTCAGATATATCTGAAGAACAACAGGGGTTCATGAATTGTATTGAAAGTTCTGAGGAAGAAGTGGAGGGTGATTTCGACGATGATGATGACATTGCAGATCCAAATTATATACCAACTGATATAACTCCGGTAGATGAGCAGTGTATTTCCGAATGCATCGAAGAAATTAATACAGCTGAGTCCCGTGAAACTTTCATGGAAGCAGTTCAATACATTCTATACCGTCGAGTCCATGCTGATAAATCTACTAACAGTGATGAACCAAAGGAAAAATTATATTAATTACTTCAATTTCGTGAACAGATAGCTGCTGGCCTTGTGGCGTATACACAAAGACGTTCTGTTGGTCGACCATCTTCTCTCAGTCCGTACATCCTGGTACTAGTAGTGTTGGTCAGAAAGCTAAACATCGTGTAGCCGATATCAGATACGACAACTACGACCATTTTCCAATATGGCTAGGTAAATCAGGAGGAAGAAAGAAATGTAAACATTGCAAAAACTTTGTAACCCAATGTGTTTGCCAAAAGTGCCACCTACATTTGTGTTGCTCTAGCTCAAAAATTTTTTAATACGATTATCATCATAAATAATGTAATTTCCTTGTCTGATTATTTATTCGAATAAAAATACATTTAACAAAATATACTATTTTATTTCACTTAAGGCTGTTTTATCGGTACACTAAAACCTAGAGACAGTGTTTTCTCTATTATTTACCGACAAAATGTGTCCAAATTTGGACATGGTATTCAGAATTATGTTGCCTTTAAACTGATGGTTTTACTTTTCTTATTTTTTTGAAAGTTTTTTTGAAATATTGGATTATACTATCTAACGTTCTATTATAACCGAACTTTTTACGCCCATCACTTAAAAGAGTTTTTTTTCTGTAATCGCTGATTTTTTTTCACCTTTGTGTGTCAAGTAATAATCGAGAAAAGCGTGTTCAAACTTTAAAGAAAATTGCTAAAAAATACTGAAATCTAATAGTGAAATCTGTTACGTATCATGGCATTTAGTTTCATGGTTATCGCCTTCGTGACGTCAAATCTCATGAACGTACGGTCAGTTAGTTCGCTGGAATCAGAATCCATTTTCAGTTATTTATTCTTGTATTTTCTTCATCAACTTGCTTAGTGGTTACAGTTTACAGTATTTTTCGTTATTTTGAAAACATTGAAATTCTTTAGTTGCTAGGCTAATATCAGTTTTCTCTAACAAATAAATAACTTCTTGAGATTATTTCAAGCTATAACTGCGAAATTGTTTACTTCTTGGTGACAACAAATTGTATTTTTTTGATAATAATATTTTTATGTTATTTTAAATTTATTATGAATAAACACCATGATGTTTTTGCAGTCACGTTTCACAAATTTTTATTTAATACTATATTTAGCTAAGACATATAAATTAAAAATGTGATAATTCTTTTTAAAACATCTACGATAATCAATCAAAAAAGGTATTCCCGACAAAACTAATTTGAATGGAGAATAATGCATTTGTTTTCATTAAGCTACCCGTCGGCCGGCGCCACTGAATAAACAGATGTACTCGTCGACTGGCGTAAGCAGTGTAGAAAAGTAAGTGATACGCCCATTTCAAATCGCAGTGTGCTTTGACTGCTAAAACAGCCTTAAACCGTTTTGTCGTCCTTGAGGACGTCTTACGTATTTTTTACCTGTCGAATCAGCCAATAGGGAAATATTTATAACAACTTCATATTCGTCATTGTCATAGCAAGATTAACTAGAAACAAAAATTTATATAAGAAAATATGCACTATTTCAGATTTTCCGGTTAGAGGGTTAACTTCAAAACTGTCACTATATTACTGTAGTAATAATTAATCTCCAACTGTATTTAACTTAATAATTCATTTAACTTAATCAATGCCTTCTTCTAGCATTGAATAATCTCTTCATAACCTCA